TTTCTTATTTGTGTGTTTCTATTATGTACAAGAAAAATATATGGATTAGTTGTGTTTGTTTAGCAAACAAACTTATCTTGGGAAGTAATTATGCTTCATGTAGTTGACTGTTATTAAAGATATGCATTTTTATTACTATCTAGTGTTTTAAGTATTTATTTTAATATGAACCTTAAAATCTTACGATTTTACGATTTTAATCTACGATTTCGATTCTACCGCAGTTTTCGATTTTACTTAAAATCTAGATTTTGACTGCATTGCAATCACCCAACAAAATTTTTAGCTGAAGACTTCTACAATCTTACTACCAGTAGCTGAAACATGTGTGTGTGATTGGTGTGATGGCAAAGAGCACAACAACATAGACAGTCGTAACTTTGGTCAATCTTGCCAAGAAAAGTTTGACTGCATGATTCAGGGGTACCAATAAAATCATCAATGAGGGTTCTTCAAACAACAACTACTATCAGCCCCCAGGCAGAGCACCAGTGGGAGTTATTCGTCCAAACTTTGGGCAAAATTCACAATATCTGAATCAATGGCCTTAACCCACTCACTACAATCGTTGAGCCTCTCTATGCAGGAAACTATGGGGAATGAGTTGTGGACATGACATACGACTGTTAGCCAAGAACAAAATTAGTTTCTTTAAAGTCTCAATTTCCAAACCAGCAAAAGGTTCAACAAACATGTAATGTTGGAAGAAGTTTGATGCTCCTGCAATCAAATGGCTCAAGAAAACCATAACGAAAGAGATATGAAGCAGTGTGCTTTAGGCCACCACTGTTGCTGAGATGTGGAAAGATATGAAAGATCAATTTGCAATGGGGAGCAATACCAGATATTTCAAACTCCATTGAACAATCAACCATCCTCGTCAAGGGGATATGTCAGTCTCGAGCTATAACTAAAATCTACAAGCACCGCGAGATTTACACAATCTCCTCACTGCTGCCGTGTTCATGCATATCTGAGAATTCTTGGTGTGTAGTGAAGGAGAAAAAACAACTATATGATTTACTCATGGATCTCAAGATGGTGACCACTCAAATCTTTAGCATTCGATTGATGCCTCACTGATATCAACATTCCATGTGATATTGAAAACAAACATAGGAGCATATTGGCATCCATGTAACTAGCCAACATCTAATCAGTGGTTGTGTTTCAGGCTAAGTGCACGTCAGAAGCCAATGAACAAAGTGAGTTTCAAAAGATACCAAAATGGGATGTGTGTGGCTAGATGGGTCACTATAAGGATACTTGCTACGAGGTTGCTGGTTGGCCGAAAGAACGAAAAAGAGAGAATTGACATGAGAAAAGTATAGGAGGAGGCTTTGAAGAAAATAAAAGGAGGGGAAGGCCAGTACAACACGAATGGAAGGGCTCCCTAATTCCGTACTAGGGTTTCTAAAGAAAAAGTGAGTTAATTACTTAAACTGTTGGCCCAGAAATCATATGAGATAAGCCAACTCAACCAATTAAGCACCAAAGTAACATTACTAGTTATCCTGCAGTGGCTTGGGCCCTTGATTCTACACACACACACACACACACATATATATATATATATATATATATATATATCATATTACGTTTGATACTTTAATGAGAATCACGTTGTTGAGAAAACAAGAAAATTCAATAAATTCATTTGTCAAAGTAGCAACTGGGTCTAAGGTCCTTATCATCGATATAGGAGTTTTTCATTTCAAGAACGAACTAGAGCTACAAGGGGATATTAATGCTCCTAAATATGAATGTCATTTATTATCCATCAACAAACTCGCCGAGGATCGTAATTTTGTAGATAATATCCTTTTGGTGGAAGGGAACGAAAAATTGACCGGCGATGGTCAGAAAAATGGGAAAACAATGAGAAATAGTAAGATTGTGGGGTGGTGTAATAGGATGCCAGTTTATAAAAACCGAAGGGGTTTGAGGTGGGAGGAGAATAGATGTAATTTTAATTTTATAATTAAAATTTAAAATACAATGGGAATTTAGAAATTTTAGGTATAAAATTCGTAAAAAATTGTTCAATGGACTTATATATTGTAACACCCTACCTTATGCATATTGCCTAATCATATTGTTCATACAATTGCAGCGGAATAAATCTCGAGTGTTACATTAATTATCAAAATTTACCTAAATAAAATTTCGACATGAATTACTTGCGTAATGGGCTAACAGTTCTTGCAACTTATCCTGCAAAATAATTCATCACAAACATATATACTCACAACCATATGCATTGGCTTTTCTTAGCCATAGTCACACTTTTCATACTCCACAACTGCATACCATACTTATACATACCATAATCGTCACAACTTACACAGTTACACAACATATACACATATCATCAACTTTCCACACCTATGGATATCTCACACTACATCAGAAGCTAGTATGCACATGAAAAACGTTCTCAAAACATTTTTTTTACAAAAAGGTGTGGATCACTGGCCAAAATCCCGAGTAGTCGTCCAAGCACAGAATAGTTGAAGACCATACCTCATCTTGGCTTCAACTCTAGCTCCTCTCCCACCTAACACTTATCTACTGCTGCTGCTGATGATCTGCTTACACATAGCATAAGCAGAGAAGAAGAATAAAAGAGGGTCAGCTCATGGCTGAGTGAGACAATCATTGCATCGTGAGTTCATAACAGAGCATACCCGTACCATACATCTAGCAAACAAGCCAAAGCACTAGGATCAGACCTCAATCATCCGGCATCCCAATAGGCGAAAGACTCAACCACCTTGACTTTTGCATATGCATCTTATCATGTTTTACTTATAGGCGCCTGGCTACTCCCATGCTAATAACTCTCCCGAGAAACATACCCCACATCCCGTCGGATGTAGTCATACATACCCCAACATCCCGTCGGATGTGGTTATACATACCCCACACCACTATGGGTATAGTCATACCCCGACACCGCTCTGGTGTGGTCATATCTCGTAAGAATTCTTCAGTCACCACCACATGAGAGGTGTGACTATCATACATATCATAATAGAGTTATAGCATAGGGAGCCCTAATTACTATGTAGTTAACCGTGAGACCACAACACTCATATTTGATATCCTTATAGATGATTCATATCTCATCTTGCTTGATAATAATTCATTACTTGCACATGTACTTGACCTGGCCACAATTGGCTCAACATAGGTCAACCAGGAGTCGTATAGTTGCACTTCCTCGGGATAAACCCTCGTGCAAGTCATCCTCCTTAAACATCATAATATCACACTGGGAAGTTTATTTCCCCCACTTGTGAATCCAAATACAACCACAATATCACATCATGTCAAAACACCTGATCGAACAACCATGCAATCATCAACATAAACAAGGTCCATATCAGCTAGGGCAAGTCCATAATATCATACAATAGTCCATGGTTCATCATATAGCATAAAAGTCCATACACCCCTAATCATGCCATTCTAGTTCACCTAGGTCAATTCTAAGCATCAATATAATTATCGTGATACGACAAATCCGGTATGCCGTGCTAATCCCTCACCAGTTCTGGTAGTTCAAACACCGATTCTAGCCTCCCGTACCCCAACTTCACTTTTCTCAAACAAACTCGGAATCAAAATCCGAGATTGTCCTAATATCCCCTGCAGTATCCCCCGTCAATGTTAGTACTAAGCTCCGGATCAAATTCTCGATAAAAACACATCAAACCCTGGCCGGAGCTAAATTCAGCGACTTGGCTCCGATCTAAATAGTAGCCGAAATTCATGGATTAGAACTAGAGGATTGATTACCTCGCTGTAGGAAGCCCGTATATGCAATTTGGGCTCAATCCGGCTTCCGGATACTCCGAAACCCTAATTTGGCTTATCAGAAATTCAATGAATTCCTAAACCAAAAACTCGTTTTAAAGCTCTAAATCGATAAATCTCGATGTATAGATGAATTAGGCATTGCTTACGGGATTTTTGGACTACTGGAACTCAATAATTTAGCTTTGGAATTTTTCTCCGGTCGCTCCCCTGAACTCTCCGCGCGCTGCTCTGCTCTCGGTAGTGGAAATGAAAAGAAGATGACGATGGGGAAAAGTAAATGGATCGGTGGTGGGGAATTAAATGGACAGAGTATATATATATATACAATTAATACGTATACTTATCCGATCGATCGATAATCCGATTTTCGCTGAAATACTATCAAAACGCTCGATTTTAAATTGCAAACTTTCTAGCAATCGAAATATGGGTTTTGCTGGAACGGGATGTTACATATATTGAATTGAAAAAAGAGGTGTTGTAGTATTTTGTCTACATTTAGTACTATATTTAATAAATTTTTAAATATAATAATATATGAATACTTTATTAACATTTTGAATATATAATTCTCTAAAATATATGTTTTCTGCTTTACCTCCGGCTCTATCTTCTGATGCACGAGTTAGTAACTTTAAGTAATCTTATCAATGGGTCGGATCAAAAGCTAGTAACTTGTAAGTATGGAAAGACGTATCGAATCAGCGGATGGAATTGGTAACTCATAGGACTAATTTAGTTTACTTCCTTGGTTGTTAGCTTTGTCTTTCACTTTGATGAAAAAACCGAATTTCCTAATGTGTCGGAGGTCCATATTTCCACTTGAAAACTCTACGTTCCATAGTCTATCTCGCACTTCTGAATTGATGTCACAGTCTCGAACGGTCATGTCATCAGGCCAACTCTAGAACGACAACACCAGAACTTGTAACTTCCTTCCTTCCCTGGACTGATAAACTTATAAAAGTTGCCTGAAAATGGAAACAAAGAATGACGAGTGGTTTCTACAAAAAAAAAAAAAAAATTGACGAGTGGTTCCTGAAAACTCCTAACATTTCCTTTTTCTTCTCTTCTCCTCCAATTTCTATCTTTTCTTTTCCGTTTCTTCTCCTTTTCTTCTCTTCTTCCCTCCATCCTCATCAATTTTGTCACACCCCTCCGTTTGCGTTCTCCACTCTCACACAAATTAAATTCTCACTCAATATTAACAGTTCATTTCCTCTTCCGTAGTAGTAATGCGATCTTCTATTCTTCTTCCATTATCACCATTATCTTCCCTCCCTCACTCTCAACTCCGCCACCGGGAACCCTAAATAACGACACCGCCGAGTCGATCAAATTCCGAAACAGATAAGGAAAAGGAAAGTTAAAAAGAAAGAATGGGGTTCTTTAGTATGATATTCAGCTTCGTCGGTTTTGGAGTAGGGATTTCGATTGGCATTGTGATCGGTTACTTCCTCTTCATCTACTCCGTTCCAAGCGATATCAAGGTGGATTTTCTCAAATTCCCTCTCATGTTTCAAAATTGAATTACTCATTTGATTTGAGAATTTCCTTGGGAAAGCTGAGAATGTCGATGGATGTATTTGAATAGAGCTAGAGTTTATATAAAGCCTTCATTTTGATTGTATTTCCGCGAATTGTCAGGATCCTGAGATTCGTCCATTAGATGAGCAAGATGACGAGACTCTCCAGCAAATGTTTCCTGAGATTCCACCTTGGGTCAAAAATCCTGACCACGAACGTGTATGTGTGAAATTTTTGTTTCATAATCTTTTCAAGGTTTTGTGAATGCTCCGAATTGATGAATTAGGTTTGTTCTTTTTTTGTAGATGGATTGGCTGAACAAGTTTATTGAGTATATGTGGCCTTACCTAGATAAGGTATTGCACTCAGTTTCTTTATTTATGTTTAGCTTTGAAGCCTTCTCATATTTTGCAGTTTTTCAAATGCTTGCACTTTAGTTCATTGTTATTTTGGTACCTTAGGCCATTTGCAAGACAGTACAGGAAATTGCAAAGCCGATAATAGCGGAACAGATTCCAAAGTACAAGATAGAATCTGTCGAATTCGAAACACTAACACTTGGGTCACTGCCACCAACTTTTCAAGGTAACAAGCTAAAACTAACTACACTGAAGTCTACCTGCAATTTAACTTTTGATTTCATCTTTTGTGTGCATCTCTTTGATTTGTTTTACTATGATCAGGGATGAAAGTTTATGTGACTGATGAGAAGGAGTTGATAATGGAACCATGCATCAAGTGGGCTGGAAACCCTAATGTCCTTGTTGCGGTTAAAGCATTTGGATTGAAAGCAACAGCTCAAGTTCATTACGGATTCTTCTAGTTTTTCTTTTCCTTTGTTTAAAGGTGGATTTTCCTATTATGTTATTCTTATGGTATGTATTTTTTTGGATGATTGTGAAGGTTTTGGATTTGCAAGTATTTGCTTCTCCCCGTATAACCCTGAAGCCCTTGGTCCCTAGCTTCCCATGTTTTGCCAAGATCTACGTCTCTCTAATGGAGAAGGTTGGTAAAAATGATGATTGTTTCGTCTGGAAATTTATTTTAGTTGATGTTATTACTAACTACATATAATTCAAAATGAAGCCTCATGTTGACTTTGGGCTCAAGCTTGTGGGAGCTGATCTTATGTCAATTCCAGGAGTATATAGACTTGTTCAAGTATGACCATTCATCTTTAGACAACTTTTTGTTTTGCTCCATCGTTGGCTCTTTGATGTGATCATGATCAAGAATATTCCATCAACAAAATTAAACTTCTTAGGCTTATAACTCTTCTATGAATTTCCAAGATTCTCATGAGGTTTTGTCTCTTCTACCCTGCAGGAGATAATCAAAGATCAGGTAGCAAACATGTACCTGTGGCCTAAAGCCCTGGAAATTCAAGTCCTAGATGCAAAGTATGTCACACAACAATGTCATGCTTCATATATTCTTTCTATCCATTTCTCGGCTTAAAAATATCCCAATAAAAACGCAGAGCCTTGAAGCGGCCTGTTGGAATCTTGACAGTGAAAGTCCTAAGAGCAATGAAGTTGAAGAAGAAAGACCTGCTCGGCGCATCAGACCCATATGTGAAACTAAAGTTAACAGAGGATAAGTTACCATCCAAGAAGACCACAGTAAGACACAAGAACTTGAACCCGGAATGGAACGAGGAGTTCAGCATGACAGTTCAAGACCCCGAGACTCAGTCTCTTGAGCTCCATGTCTATGATTGGGAGCAGGTGTTTAAATTTTTTCAATAGTTGACTAGCTTCCCATCAACTTATTGCATCATCTAAATAACTATGATCATTTTTCCTTTTAAGGTTGGCAAACATGACAAGATGGGGATGAACCTAGTCCCTCTAAAGGACATCCCACCAGAAGAGACCAAAGTCATGACCCTCGACCTACTCAAAACCATGGACTTGAACGACCCTCAGAACGAGAAATCGAGAGGCCAGATCGTCGTTGAACTTACTTACAAGCCATTTAAGGAAGAAGAAATGCCGAGCAGCTTTGAGGAGACGCAAACCGTAGAGAAGCCACCAGAGGGAACTCCTACTGGTGGAGGATTGCTTGTGGTCATAGTTCATGAAGCTCAAGATGTTGAAGGCAAACATCACACTAATCCATGCGTCAGGATTACTTTTAAAGGCGAGGAGAAAAGAACTAAGGCATGTGAACACAATTCAGACAAACAACAAAGATGTTCTGTGCATTATCTTTTCGTTCTATAATGATTTGGGTTATTTTGATTGTTGCAGCAAATTAAGAAGAGTAGAGATCCAAGGTGGGAGGAGGAGTTCCAGTTCATGCTCGAAGAACCTCCAACCAATGAAAAGTTGCACGTGGAAATTACGAGTAGTTCTAAGCGTATGGGCATGCTTCATCCAAAGGTACAAATAGATTCTTCATCAAGTTGGTTGTATTGTAAGGTAGAAGATGCTGACCTTGTTTTTGAATGTTGATGAAACTAGGAATCTTTGGGGTATGTGATGATCAATCTGGCAGATGTAGTGAATAACAAGAGGATCAATGAGAAGTACCATCTTATAGACTCAAAAAATGGGAAGCTTCAGCTGGAGTTGCAGTGGAGAGCTGCTACTCAGTGATGTTTCTTATCTCTTTACAAGACTACATGTTCTCTTCCTTATTGGATTTGAGATACTGATGATCATGATGGGATAAGAATACAAAGAGCATGAAAAGGGAAAACCAAAGCTCTATACTCTGTAGATGACTCTTGCCCCACTATTTAGAGTTTGAATTGGAGGTGTGGTGGATGATATGAACTTTGGTATCACCATTTTGTCCACCTTTGGAGGGTTGAAGTCATATACTATGTTTTTTTTCTTCATGTATTAGTGTCTAGGGAATTCCATTTTTGGCACAATGCATGTATAGCAGATAGAATAATACAAAGACAAAACAATGATTTGCACACATCCTTTAGAGTTGTTACTAGTTACTTTTTCTTACACACTAATCCCCATAAGCTTCTAATTTCGAGTAAGCAGTGACTTCCTTGATAGAGATGATGGAGACGAATTGCAGATTCTGATCTCTAAGCTTGATCAGGAAGAAGCATCACTGTTGGAAGTAGGAAGGCTTTGGGATGAGGTAAGAGAGTTAGCTTTGGAGATGAGTAATGTTAGCTGGAGGTTTTGGGAAAGGAAAGGCAATAAGCCAACACATCTAATAGCTCATATGGAGTGTAGATGGAATGAGAATGAAGTGTAGTTTAATATACCATTAATTTTACTTTTATCACACTTTCTTGTGAATTATAATGCTTTTTCTCCACGGTAATTGAAAGCATCGAGGCATTTTGTAAGACAAAGAAATACGTTTCTAATGGAGAATTGTAATATAATCTTTTGATAATCTGTGTTCAAATCGTCTCATTACAAATCTCTCTCTCCCTTAGTATAAGATTTTCTTTCATTCTAACCAAATCAAAAAGTATTCTCTAACTAGAAAGAACGAAACAAATTCAATCTCCTAATTCGTCCTTCTAATCTGACCTACTTGTCCAAAACTTGGATAAAAACTATGCCTGAGTGAAACCCTACAAACCACTTGCTCTCAAGAAAACAAAAGAAACGACCCAACCAAAAATAATTAACCTACTCTAATCTAATCGAAAAATCTATGCCCTATCATTAACCCTCCATAAACCCTAATAGCCACACTTCACTTGAATTGCCAATCTCTTCTGCACCTCTGGACACCAATCTTGATACCTGTCAAAAAGTTGCCTCTCCACAGGTACATGACATCTATTCTTCCCAAGGCAAAGCTGCTCAGAGATCCAAAACCCACAAAAAATATTCATCACACAAACTCCATAACTTGCTCAATAAGGCACATAAGCAAATACTACATTTTTGTTTTTACCTTTTGGATGATGAACTTTGATAATGGAGAGCTGCAATTCCCTCTGGTGTAGCTTCCGCATGTGCCATAAGGATCTCCAAAGCTTGCGAACTCCACGGAGACAATCCTCTTTTGGAAAGGACACCTCAATCGAGCCTCTGCTCGAACCTTATTGACCACACTCAAGATCTTTCCTTGCTTCCTTGCCCATGACTTCACCTCGGGTATGTGGTTCTCTGTTGTATCGCTGCATATGGTGTCTCGATATACCGTCAAGATCTCGATCTTCTCGGGGTTAGTTCCTTCCTCTTCCTCCAGTATCACCATCAGATTCCTGCCACGTTTAAGGAATGATCTTGGAATGTGGTACCTGGATTCAAAGAACTTAGCTTTTTCGAGTGATTCTTATGTTACTTGTGGAAGAATTTAAGTAGTTTAATGTCCTACTGCAAGTTACGATTTAGCTTTTCCACGTACTCTGATTGAGTAGGTTGGCCAAGTGGAGAAAGGTAAGACATCCAGTATCTCCCTATGTTGTTTCCATTAATCCACACCATTCCTTTCCCCATTCCTTTCATCCGAACTGCCACAGGATTTCTTCCCTCTGGATTAAACATGTATGTCTGCATCCCCCATATTTGAATGTGCCAAATTATGTTTTCATACAATGCATTAATCAAGACATGATTAGTTCTTACCTTGTACCAAGTAAGAGCACGACCTGGTTTCTGAAGCTTTGTCCATCTCACTCTACGCGATCCGTTCTCTGTGTAAACTTGAGCATCCTCTCCATCCAAACCTACCTTGACTCACAATTTGCTATGAGATTTGAGAATTATGATATTACAAACTTTGAAGTTTCATTATAGAGGACTTTGAAGAATCATACCTTATGCCCCCATCCATTATAGGTCAGTTCAATTGGACCGGATTTCATCCCTATGATTGAAGCTCCCCGAGGCCCTGCGTACCTTTTCTCTAAACGAGCTCCACTGTCCTTCATTAACCATTAAAAGGAACAACTTCCTTTTGTCACTTTAGATTGCTTGAAAGTGAATAGCAAAGGAAACATAAAGAAAAGTGAAAGGATTTTTGCTTACCGGAAGTCCCATAAGGCTACCTAACAATGTAATGGAATTATCCCCTGGCTTCAGCTGGATGGGTACTTTCAGTACAAAGCTCTTATCGTCATGGCTTCCATGAGCAGATCCTACAGAAAAAGAAAAATTTCAATCTTTCAAAATGATGGTTGCTTGAATGAAGAAAAATAAAGTTTGTGGCTTTTTTTAACTTCTTCTTTTTGCCCTCTTACCAACAAATTCACCATTAACAAAAGCAAGCATTGCATGCCCCAGGCTAGCCACTTCTAGCACAAGAGGGAATCCCAAATCTTGCTTTTTAACCTGAATTCTGAAATTCAAATCCAACGAGTAATTGATTTTTTAAATGGAGAAGGGAAACAAGTAAACAAGATTAGTGTGTTCAAAGTTCAAACTGCAACTTACTTGGTTGTGTACCAAGCATAGTCAGTTGTATCCTTTGTCAAGAGATAAAGCTCCTTTGGCTTCCAAGAGAAGTATCCAAGTTGAGTTGGGATCACTTCTCTGTACTTTTCCCATCTCAGGTTCCAATGAGCTAGTCTTGATTTCACTAACCTCCTTGCATTGTGTTGCGCCACCACCTGCTTCCACCAAAACAAACCATACTATCATAAACGACACAACAAGGAGACCAAGTAGTCGAAAATACGATGTGGTTTAAAAGGAATGTTTAACTTACTGTCATGGTGTTATAAACCACAGTCTTGCAATCAGGTAGAATGCTGACAGAGTATGGAGGCAGGTGGTACTCATGTCCCCGGAACTTAACAGTTGATACATTGTCATTATTGTTGTTGGTCAAGAAAGCTGCACATACGTTGTTCCGCGGCTGATCATAGATGCAAACCTACAAGAAAGCCAAAATTACTGAGACTTTAAAATTTGTAACTTCAAATTTGCTTGTCCTTGAATGTGGGGGTTCTATTGCCTTTTTTACTTTACCTCCACATCCTTAGTCAACATCCAAACAGAAGGGTGCCCCCAAAGTAGCGCCTTTTGGCTTAGCTTTAGTGCCCTATGTAGGTCCTTTAGGTGCCCCCATTTTGGCTCCCTCTCCAATCCTGTGAACTCGGAATGATAAGTGAAATGAAATAACTAACTAAGAAGCACTTAGTTTGAGACCAATGAGTGAGTTTTATTGAATGAGATTGCACCATATTCGTCTATAGGAGCTTCGTCATAGTATTGAGTTGTGGAGAAGGATGAAGTTGTTCTTCCAAAGTTTGTCCCTCCATAGTACTACAAACAAATGGAGGAAACTTCTCGTAGTTAGCTTAATTTCTTTTTCATTTCAACTTATTGACAATGTGTATGGCTTACCATGTAGTAGTTGACATGAGTCCCATTCCTCGCGAACCATCGAGCAACTGAGTATGCTATGTCTTCTGCCGTTCTGTAGTATGAAGGCTCTCCAAACACTGTATAACTTCAAGAGCAAGAAAGCATAGATGAATTTGAGATACAGATTAGTGATAATTAATCATTAACTACTCCGTAAAAAGAGCGAGAGGGCAGTGCAATTACTGAGAAGTCCAATTCTCTGTCCATAGAGAAGGCTTGTATGGTTTGTTAGGACCAAGGAATGTATCTGCACAGTTCCTTCCGTTGCAAGTATTGATCTGGCAACACAATGAGGATAAATAGATGTATCTTAACAAGTAGGAAAAAAAATTGAGCGAATCGTGCGATGAAAGTTTTCGGTACCAGAGGATCAGGAGCATCAATTTGCTTGCACATAATCCATGGAACTCTGGTTTTAAGCCTTTCAGCCATATTCCCTGCCCATTGGATGTATCGCGAGCCTGAATCTTTGAACGCTCTTTCAACATTGGCATATTCATTCTCTATCTATAGAAGGGGAGAAAGAAAACTCTCAAACACATCAAAATCTTCCTTCTGCTGGGTCATTAAAATTTTGATCCAGTTTGATATGGATGATGAGAAGAAACCTGAGACATGATTATGGGACCTCCTTGTGATGCATACAGTTTCTCCCTCTTAAACATGTCCACTATCATCCTCACAAATTTCCTCATATGGTACTGCAGAAACATAAAAAAAATGTAAAAGTATTTACCCTTTTACTTCAATGTCAAGCTACTCTAATGATAATTAAGAGGAATTTTACAATGCTATATAGCATTGGTGCTATAGGTTTTTATCTTTATGGTACAACTTGAAATTGTACCTTTAACGTTATGGTACAACTTCAAATTGTACCTATACTTTTTTGTGCAAATTCTTTTATGGTACAACTTGAACTTGTACCTTTATGTGATGGTACAACTTCAAGTTGTAAAGTTATACCATAACATAATGATACAAATTCCTTTATGGTACAACCTAAACTTATACAGTTATTATTATGATACAACCTAAAGTTGTACATTAAGGCACCAATACTATATAGCATAGGAGAAGTGCTCGATAATTAAACCAATGAACCATTTGTTTAGTTCATAAAACATCAAGAGAAAATAAAATTAGAAAAGAACAAACACCTCCAACCCCCTCATACCCTCCAAAACAAAAGTATACACAAACTATGCTACATTTGAATCTAACTTGAAAGAAAGAAATCGACATGGCTTTACGTGCCACTCTAGGGACAACCTCGAATGTGGCTCGAGGAACCACCGTAAAGGCTTAAGGACCCACTACTACCAGAGACGACTGCAATCAAGCGGGCATCACGGACTACAAGAAGCTCTATACCAAAAGCAACCAAAAAGGCACGAGAGGCCCTGAGATCAACCTAAAATGTTCGTTTGAGCAACGACCAACTAGACCTGACAACCAACAATTACCATGGCAGACGATGACAACAAAGCATATATTCAAGGAGTCGTCATGACTCATGAGAGGGAAGATACAAAGTGGAAGCAAATGAAAGAGGAGTAGGATGAAGGACAACAGGAGCGCGAGAGACCGAAGAGGCAACAATCCAGACATTGAAGA